ATTTCAGGAGATAGCCAGCGGATAGAAAAACCCTTTGAAGATCAAAACAACTTTCACTTTTTTCCCGTTCTAAAACACGCAGCCTAAAATGAAATCTATCGTGGCTTTATCATGCAAATTGAGCATGATATCCGTGATCAGCACAAATTTTGACCCTCACTATATACCTATCATAACCCTACGGATAAACTACGATATTCGTGATCACCGTGTCGAATAACTCTCTAGATCAGTTCCCAGCCAAAATCCATGACTTTGACCTCCTACCGTACACCTACCGTAGGCGTACAGGGAGACTTTTTCGTGGAAAGTGTGATATTTGGGATCAGCATGTCGAATAACCATTCTGTGCAGAGTATAAGTAGGACCTGAGATTGTGGCTCCATACCGTTCTACAGTAACCCCTCAGAAGGCTCTACTCCGCGAAATGAATATCATTTTTGTGATCATGTCGATTAACTCCTATGTACAAAATTTTAGCGGAATTCGAGATTTCTCACTTTTGGATCGCGTATTCTGGATGCCCTTTTTCCATTCTCCTTTTGAGATTTGCTAAAAATCTTCAAAATTCTCAAGTTTCAAATATATCGATTAAAACATAATTACACAGCAACAACTAGAATAGCGACTTTTGGAAATTCTTTCATTACGTTCAACCTTGATGCCACAATCGCTTTGGAATATGGAGACTTTGAAACATTGTCTCGTAGGAATACGATTTTACCCACAAGTCCCCTACTTACCGTAAAGAAAAAGGAGCTGTTAGAAAGAGGAAGTAGAAATGATACCTAAGCTTTTTAGCAAATTTTCTAGGAGGTCTCAAAAGTCCAAAAATGAAATTTGGTCACTTTAAAACATAATCCAAAAATTATAGAAAAGCAAGCTAAAGATACAAAATTTTGCACTAAACTGCGAAAGGTTTGCCGTATTTGCTGGAAATCTAAGCTTTCTCAAAAGTCTCGATAAAAAATTTAGAAATTTAGCGAATTTCAGACATTGTTTTTATACCAAAAGTCTTCATTTTTGAATCACTATACCATGCGAATAATACAAGTTGTGCTACCCAAGAAATACTGATTTTAGCGCAAAACATGAGCGAAGAGAGCGAAAACATATACATCTATATCTGATATATCTCTAGTATCTCCTCATTACGCTTTACGGAATCTGCGAATGGTTAAAAAAAACCTCACAAAACCTTTGCACGGCCTAATATCTGCGGTCATCTGAAATTGCGAGGTCATGCACCCGCAGAAATTATGAAAGGCATCCCAAAAAAA